TTAAAACGAAGGTATTCACTAAGTAATTGCATTAAAAAATGTATGCCTGAATCACGCTGTTTGTAACGAAACGAAGCTAACAAATATGTTTTAGCAAACGCTCTGCTTGATTAATCAAATGGACAATTCTCGTCCATTGAGACTAAGGAGAAGAATATCAAAGTTTATATGATTATGTAATGACTCGTACCCATTTGATAACTCAAAATGGCATACAACCAGATTTGCCAGATAAGCTTGTTCACTTGACAAAACTATGGGAAAGCCATATTCTGGCCAAATCAAAAATAGTGAGGAGAATTTGGTACTGTTTTATCACTGGTTAAGAATATTGTACCGATTTTAATGCATTTGGCAACTTATAATAGCAACAAACATTAAGATTTTTGAAGATCGACTCGTTCACTTGACAATATAACCAGAAAGCTACCATTTGCTTACATTATTCAGTACAAAATGGAATTGAAGACAGGATTCTTAAATGCATCAAAACCATTTGAAATAGTAATTTAAAGGCTATCTTGAAAGAAAATAATTGGATTATTTTCTGCACATTTTTTTTGTTTAAACCTCTTTAGAAATGTAAGAGAGTGAACTGACGTGATATTTTGTGTCCGAACTCCGAACAGACCAAATAATTACAGGACGTTAAGTAGGAAACCATTTTAATTTAAATATTTACAAAAAAAATTACTCATCGTCAAAACAAAATTATATATTATATATCCATTATAAGTCAAACTAAATGTGTTACAGATACCCTTGAAAATATAATGGACTGGTTGCGTTTTGACGGTACCTTGATGAGCAAACATATCTGTTGGACTATGATTTTGCCTTTAACGTATTATCGGGTAATAACATCGCGATAATATCATTTGAAGACCAACGACTAAAACCTTTAATATCAACATGTAAAAATGTCAAAAGTCAAATATAATGCCTAATGAGAATGTTTAACAATGTAAAAGTTGTCTACACAATTCTCATTAAACTAGTTAGCTGAAGCGACAAAATAGTTTGTTAAGCGACAAAATAGTTTGTTGAACGACGTAATGGAAATTGACATCGCGTTAAAATGGCAAGAGGCCCAAAGCTTAAACTGATTTAAGAATAACAGTGAACCGTCTGTTGCGTCATTGCGAAACCAAATTAATTATATGGGTCATAAGCAATAGTGACTGGAGTATGAAACTGCCCTAATGTTACAATATGATATGGTTATTTGATTCCAAGGTAAATAGCCTGAAGATTAAGCTACTAATATTCCATTAGTTGTGATGAATTTTTCGACCCTCGTCACTATAATATACTTTATAAGGCTTTCTCATTCCATTTATATATTAAGGAAGTCTTTAATATGAGTAATGTCTTTGTAAGCAAGATAGGTCCAAATGTAAGAGACAATTTCACTTTGACCATTATAAGGTCTTGTCTTTTTCATCCAGTTCGTCTCTACTCTACTTGACGCAGCCAATCAAGTAATTTTAATGTTAATGTAGTATAGATTTTGTAATCGGAATACGAGGTACATATATATATATATATCTATATTTCACTGTTTTCGTTACAGAAAGACAAAATTTAATATTTCGTTTTATAACAGTTCACACGTAGATAATGTTTTTCTGTAGTGATTACTATTCAGATTTCGGGGAAGGGAGGGTTAAAAACTATCAATGATATATAAAGTCAAGTAAAAGACTATCAATATCATATTAAATGAAGTTAAAGACTATCAATGTTATATTAAGTAAAGTATAAGACTATCAATATTATATTAAATGAAGTTAAAGACTATCAATGTTATATTAAGTAAGTAAAAGACTCTCAATATTATATTAAGTAAAGTAAAAGATTATAAATGTTATATTAAGTAAAGTATAAGACTATCAATGTTATATTAAATAAAGTTAAAACTATCAATGATATATAAAGTCAAGTAAAAGACTATCCATGTTATATTAAGTAAAGTATAAGACTATCAATGTTATATTAAATAAAGTTAAAGACTATCACTGATATATAAAGTAAAGTAAAAGACTATCAATATTATATTAAGTAAAGTAAAAGACTATCAATATTATATTAAGTAAAGTAAAAGACTTTCAATGATATATAAAGTCAAGTAAACGGCTTTCAATGCTTTGCACAAGTCAAATAAAAAAATTTTTTGACATCAATTTGAGCCTTCAAATCCATGCAGCTCCGTCCAGAATTATGTCGAGTTGTCTTTTATTGAGACACTGCCATATGAAAAGACATCTTTAAAAATATAAAAAATAAAAAGAAATTCCTAGTGTGAGATATTTTTGAAGGAATTGTGCGAATTTGGTACATTCTGGTTCATGTACTTCTGAGAACTATGAACCTCCCAAAAAGGCACACCCGTCCTTTTCAAGACTGCCTTGTCTTATTCTTGACTATATACAACCAAGTCCTAGACTATCAACGCTACTTTAAAATCACCTAGAAAATCGATCAGGTTTTTTTTTTCGGAGTAAATGATTTGTCTGATGATTAGAGTAACGATTGACAAATCAGACCAGTCAATAGCCATGATATCTAGAATGTGACTTTGTCTTGTTATTTGCTTCGGGGACACAAGATCGTAATATCGGCGATAATTAATCGCGTGAGATTATTTCGTTCTTTACATTTTGTCTAATTCGCTCGTCAGCAGACACCCCTGGGACGGAATAATTGTAAGTTTGAATCTGGATATTTAAAGAATAAAGTTCATAAATTGTTAGAAATAATTCTGGAATTGATAAATACTCGTCCACAGAGAGAAGGTGATTTCTTCCTTTCTTCCACAATAACAGATTAGAGATAAATCCTCTTCAGAGTAGGTCAATCCTTATTGATCCTCTTTGTTTTGTGTCTGATCTTCTTCGATTACTGAAATTGAATGACTTTCCCTTTTCTTAGACAAAATGGGTACTTTTACTTCGGATCATTATGATTTGATTGGTTATTCTAACATAATTTGGAATTCCCATCTTGTCATTTCAAAGTTGGAAACCAAATAGGGTGGTGCAATGCAGCTGGTTTAGCTACATTCCCCTTAGAGCAAAAAATTGTTTTACCGCAGATCAGACTTGCTTCCATCTTCCAATAAAATAAGGCCAGGGCAGAAACTTTAAACTTGTGTTTTCCATCTTTGCCCGTGGCATCGGGCTGGAGGAAAAATCAAGATCGAAGGTCTACGTTTTTAAGAAATATATCTGTTACAGAAATATGTATAACCAATGTACGACTAATACGTAAAACCAGCAAGTTTGCTTGATAGCCACCTTTCAGTATCTTATTTCAATATCTGTATCTTGTTCTCTATACGGCTATATTTCAGACCAACCATTAGTAAGATTATTTGCCGGTACTCTAAACTAAAACAACCAGTTCAAAAGCCCATTACACGTAGACTAACGCTGTCATTGATATAGGTACCGTCAATAATGATCAACTCACAAGAAGATGTATAAACACGAAAAGTGTGGCATAATGACTTCCGTAACCTATCTTAGCTTGACGTTGTCTACTTCAAATCAATAGGCCGTATCTGATCTCCTTATATCGCTTCTTCATGTCAATTCATATCCATTACATAGATTCAATTTCTAGCTAATAGCTTTAAGATGTGCTGACTGAGAGAGAGAAACAATCCAGACTAGCTAGTTGACGATTGTTTCCTCTCTTAAACGTGCGATTTATTACATTTTTTTAGTAACTGCGTTGTCCTTAGATACTAATATATATAAATAATACTGTAAGTTAACCACCAATTTGAATATTACTGATACTAACAAAACACCCACATATTTCCTTTGAATAAGCCGCTTCCTGATTCATACTAAAACGTACACGGAACTTACTTAATTTAATTTCAGGAAATGTTTTTCTAAAACACTACGAAATGAATACTGATATTCTGAGTTGCCATTTTTCAATTAAACTTAAAGCTTTTAAAAACTTGGTATAGAAAAGTTACTGTAAGATATTCTGAAAAGACAAAAGGACTTATTTCCTGTCCTGTAAGATTATGCTATTATATTGACATGTAACATGCAAATGTTATGATCCATGATATATTTTCCTGCTTGTTTCCATCGTAAAGAAAGAGATTTATGCCATGGTCATAGCAAAGTTTCGCACATTGCAAACAGCATGACGATGCCCGTCTTCTTTAGCCCAATCAAGTGAAGAAAAGTAGAACTCCATTGATTTCATATTTCTATCAGAATTATACAAAACCAAATCTTTCCTTCGAGATGAGATGACAATGTCTTCATTCTAGGAAACACTTAGTTATACTAATCCTTGCTCAAATTCAAACTTACATGGTTATATACGATCGATTGCACTGTAAAACAGTCGTCCTTCAGGGAAACTACTGTTTGATTTTGTTTTATCAATGGTTGATATCAGAATATAACAATAGATAAATGACTTTTTAATCTTATTCTTTAAAACAACAGTCGAGTTGCCTTAAGCTGAAATCACGAAAAACCAAAAGTTGTTGTAAAATAAAGCCTTTATCTCAATCATCAATTTCCTTGTTTAAAAGAAAAAAATAACACGCCAAAGGCAGCATCTAGATCTAAAATTATCAGTGTTCAACTTACTTCCGAAGAAGTTTCTTTTGTAAACTTCAAGTTAAAGATGTATTTAGATAAATTTATGCTTCGAAAGATCAGGGTACAGAATATTTGTCATTGGACATTGTTGCATGATATGATAACACTCAGTGAGCTCTGAGAGCTTCGTATGTTCTATATGCGATTACCTCAGAACCTTGTGATTAATAAAATAATTTCCAGATCTATATCTGACGTCATGTGATTTGAACTCTCCATTTTATCACAGTACCAGTATTAATCCAATGTTAAGAATATACTTTGAGGTTACAGAAAACTGGTGTCAGGTGTACCCCATCCAGCCCAAGGACTATTACAGCAATATTTTAATATCTTCTCAACTTATATGTTTTATCATTTCAGTATTGTTCAGAAAAAGAAGTGAGCGAAAAGGAAGTATATCCAACGTTTGCTCGCACCAAACCAACCGTATCTCAAATAGCTAAAAGTGTGGTGTCTATTTTGAGACTTTTTAATTGGAAGAAAGTCACTTTCATTCATAGTAATAGGGAAGCTAAAATACATACAGCAGACTCTATTTGTGAGGTAGGTTTTTTTAGTATCAACAGTCTTAAAATAACTCCCCCAAAGGCAATATTTTATAAAAATTAGTCCATTTCTGGTATAGCCATTGTCTTACGTCAAAGACTGGATATAAGTAGCCTTGTTCATTGACACGTATTAATGGCTTTAACAAACAGAATGTGTTATCGCGTTATCTAAACAATGGATGGTTGATACAAAAAAGACTTTTAACGGCTTTAAAGGTTTTCTGTGAAATGAAAAAGGTGAATCATTAGATTCAATGTATCCTGTTTAAATGTCGTTTACTAATAGAGAGCTTTATGAACAACAGATGGATTAAAAGATAATGAGATCACAAACTGTTGCAAAAACAGTCCATAAACGAACAAGTCAAACAATCAATTAGTTCATTTCATTTTCATTTTAAAAAAGTATTCTCATTATAAAGCCGACACACAATGAGACGAGATCTGACATTTTGTTTCTTTACAACCAAACAGCTCCACTAGCCAAACACCCATATCATTCTTTCCCAGTCTAAATTTCACTTTGAGGCCATGAGGAAAGTTCGATGTTTCGTTTCATCGATGGAATTAAAATTATACCAAACTTCCGTTCTGTTTTAATTAGCTTTTATTTTTAAGTTAGGTTTGTTCTTGACGGATGTTTAAAAGGCCAGTATTTAGACCCTAACTGAAGTAGCTACATTTAAATAAGCCAATAAAAAAACGAAAGATTAGTCTAATTGTAATAAGACTGTTATGATTTGAACTCATATGACTTTCTGTACGGTAGATGGCAATTTATTACTGTAGGTCTCATCTTGAACCTTACTTTAAACGTAATAGGTTTTTTCCGCCCTATTAACTGTATATATAGTAAAGTATTTCCATGTAGGTGGTTATTTATATAATATATTTCTATAAATACCTACTTTTATATTTAACTTAAATCGTTCAGTAAATGAAAAATTCTAAAATCTGACTTTAATGATGATAAATGGGCTAGCAAATGACCCAATTTTAACCTATTATGATTTACAAATCTTGAAATTCCACTTAGCATTTTATCACTGGCCATCAAGTGGCATGCTACTTCTTGAAGTAGTAAAATTACATCTCGGACCATAGCGCAATCCACGTTAATGGGAAGGATGGGAGATTCGTAGATAATAAATGAATCGCCTGCTTCATTTGCTTCTCTTACGTTACGGATTTGATTTCACTCAATAATTGAAAAATACAATTGCCAATTAATGAGGTATAACATTTCAAGTTATGAAACTGCGATGATGGACACTGTACTTCGAAATTATTACTGTATTTTAAAGGTTTCTTACAGTATTAGATTCACCCGAAGGCCAAGATCAGTAACATTTCAATTAATTACAATTGTTGACTATGGTCTCTAATACATTTCTCCAGAATTATGTTATAGCCAATAAGCAATTTACATTAAGAAGATCATGTTGATCTTATTCAAGACCCAAATCAACCCACATGGTGCACCATGGCCTTTATCATTTTCGCCTTCTTCAATTTGCACGGTATATCTATCTTTAAATATTCACAACTCTGATTGGAATCGCAAAGATGCATGCATCATTATGGTTCATGCCGAAAATCACGGACGTCATTTCCGGTTATGTGGAAATGTGGGCATATTATGGCATTTTGTATTACAATTTTCTTCACATAATCAATTTCAATTTCTTCAGTCAGTCAGTCCAATATTGATGCACTCTTACAATAGTTTATGAGAACACGATTATGGGTGATTGCATCAATCACTTTCATTTCATTCATGAATTACTTTCACTAGCAAAGATCATTGATGTGTTACGTACAATCTGTATTCATGTAAGTGGACCATTCATTCAAATATTTCTGAGATCCCGTTGAATTTCCCGGTTTTTATTATTCTTTAAGTGGTTATTACGTTCCAGTATCTATTAAATACCGATTTCAATTTAAAAACTGGGGCTACTGATGGTAAAATGAGATATGACGATTTTCGTCATTTCAGTTGATGAATGGGGGAGAAATTTAATAGTAATGGCACTTATTGATTCCTTATGAAATTTTCCTACTCTAAAAGAAAACTATAATCATGAATAGCAGTCAATACTTTTGGGCACACCGTTTCTGATAGTTCGTTTCAAATTGAAAACATCTATCTAAATTTTTCGTCCAAAGTTCAAGTCAAAAAGACCAAAAATTAATTTGGAGCTCCACCAAAATAATTCATGTGGCTAGCTTGGTACATAGCTGTCACTCTGCGATTTATTTATTTCAAGGCAGACAAATGAACATTCGGAAAGCTGAATCTCTTAATCTTGCGGTTACAGAATGTAAAGAAGAAAACAACTGTCTGTCTGAGGTCACTCTACGATTAATTTATTTAAAGACAGTCACATGAACAGTCTGTAAGTTGATTCTCCGAATATCGCAGTTACAGAATTAGGAAAAGAGGAAAACAACTGCCTGCCTGAGATACAACTGTCCGATCATAATGTTTGCAAAACTGCGCTTATTTTTTTTGTATGAACCTAAATAACAACTTCAAATAGTACTGAGAGTCTTAGATATTCTTAAATATGATTTTACAGAAGAGAAGTTTCAGTCCAATAATTTCTGTGAGTGAAATATGTTTAGAGATCACATTTTACATCAATTTCTAAGGATCCGGAGACATTCAAAGACAACACCATGTATTTAAACTCGTGAATGATAGGAAAATTCAAAATTGAGTTAACAGTGGACGGTTTGTAGTTAAATATATATAAATTACCCAATGAATCTGTAAGTTAGGTATATGTCAAGATCCCCGCTGATATATTCAAGAGATATAAACTACCGATAAGTTTTAATATTCTGTCCAATTACACTGGTAAATTCTGGTAGTGGTTTTTATGTAATTACATTACATTTAAATACATTATAGTAATTCTAAAGAGTTCCTAACTTTTTATGTGTGTCGCAGATACTTGTACCTTTAATTTGCATCATTCCAATTTTCAATCAGACGTCTTGCAATTTCACAAAAATTAAGCGTTTTCTGACATTACCGCAAAGGCCCTTGGATATTATTAATATGGTTTTGAAATAGTAATGCCATCAAACACTTACTTTTAATGACATTGCAAAAGACACATACGACTGGCTGAAAATTTGATTGATGCAAGTCGATTCTATCAGTGTCCCCGATATTCCTAATTGTTATAGAAAACCCCCTTTTCAATCATTTTAAAATCATTTAAGAAAATTTGCTTAGGCTGTGAAAGCTAAATGTTAACTCGCCTAGTCTTAACTACTTACATTTTGTAACTTTAATCAGTAATTAGTAACCACTTGCTTGATGATGATCTTTTGTTCTTTCGCTGTCATCCACAGTGCTGTGTAATGCAGTCCAAATGATGATCTGATTGTCGCAAACTGTCATTGTAATAATAATAGAACTAGTAACACAAAATAACGCAGATAAACTTTCAAATAGGTGTGCCTTTGTTGATGCAATATATGAACTCAGGTTTACTTGCAACTCAATTTCTTTAACTTAAATAATGCATCATATTGTGAAGAAATATTTATTTTGACGACTATATGCCTTTCATTTTGAGTTTTCGACTCCCGAACAATGCTATGCATTCAAACCCAAGGGATTTGAGAGTTTTATTAGCTCGGCTGTCATAATCCGTCCAAGATTTATTTCTGTTAAACTATTTCTAATTATTAAATGATAATTTAGATGTCTGCGCCTAATATGGTATCATTTTAATAACTTTTAGAAAATAACACGTATATCGCATAATATCCCTTTCAAATTCGCGACCAGACATATCCTATGATTACATTGAAAAAAAAGTAACCATTTATAACTCATCAAAATGCCACTGACAATTCTTAATATACAAGGGTCATATCGGTCTTAGATATCCTTTTCAATAGACATCTACTTATTCAGTCCTTTCCAGACTGACAACTTTATAAAAGGCGTGAAAATAGAACATAAAAATTAAGAATAACGTTTGACACGCCATTTATCTACATCTTTGAAATATTCATAGCGTGAAATTAATCTGTTTTCAAACTGACAACCAGGTACAAAGAATTTTGACGTAGTTTCGAATTCGTCATATTTTTTCACAAATGTTTTTTTTTTTCTGAAAAACTTCACACAGAGAATTCTATCATTTGCATTTAACAGAATATTACTTGTGGTTGAATAATGATATTTTCTCTTAAAATTGTAGAGAAAGGGAGAGATGACAAATTCATTCTGTCTAAACATAAATTGTATTAACGTTTCTCAAAGTCTACGTATTTTAATTTAAATGCATGTTTTTCATGTATTGGGGACATTACTTCAAGATTATATTTGCACTATGCCGATTTATGATCGCACTTTCAATTCAGAAAACAGAAACAATTATTTCTGTCTAAAATCTAGATTTCCCTGACATCGTAAGGGATCTATAGCGTATACATGTTTAGGGCACAATTATAGATTCTATCAACACCATACTCTTATTTTCAAAAAAAAAATAAGCTCATATAGCTTTCATTGTGGCAGGTTGGTTTTGGAGGTCTCAACAATAGACATCTCTCAAGATTGGCAGAAATTCAAAACTTCAAAACTCGAATTAAGTGCTGACTGACGGAAGAGTCTTCTTGTTTTCACTTTGTATTGTGTTGTCAGAAAATCACGTTTAAACGTGAACATGACAATGGTTTCAACGTGATACAATTTTCATTTTAGACCACTTTTGAAACAAGGAACAAGGAAGTAGAAAGATAATGCAAATTTCAAGGAAGTCGCAATATCCTTCTTCAATCAATATTAGATAAAGACGGAATAGACCACTGACGGTGGCTTTGATGATCGTAAAGACAACAAGATCTATCAGTTGCCACAGTTTTCTTAAATATCAAGAATCTTTATTTGTTGTTTTTTTAAATCGTGGGTAAAGTTTTATGTGCACTAATAACCAATTGAATACAAGAACACAACCTTACCTTTCGACAAGAACCATTCACCGTATAC